TGATTAATCAACCCTAATTGCTTAATTGGAAAATTGGATTTTAATAACGAAGTCGTAATGGTGAGTCTACGAAACTTTCATGTTTTACTAGAAATTGACGTTGGAGAAAAAATAATTATTGGTCACGGTGGAAAGTTTTCGAAAATAGATATTTATGATATGAGTGTTGAAAGTTTTATTTAAAGTCACATTTAATGTTTTTCTGGTGTTTAATGTCTTGCATAACGAAGAACAATAGCGAGGAATTATGTATTTTTGACGATATTGAAGAGGCTGTAAAAAGAGCTTCAATTGGATTATTACCAAAAAAATTGGCTCAGCAGTAGGAAATCGCATAATCTAATTTTCTTAGCCGGTATAGGCTTAAAAACGTCAAAGGAAATTTCAGCGAAACAATCTTCTTAGACTTTCTAGAAGAGAAATCAAAAATATGAAACTTGTCAACTTTGTGGAGCAATTTTTCAATGATATAGTCAAGTGCGCTCGTTAAATATGATGTGAATACAAGCGAATGTTTTAAAGTAATAGCATTCTTGAAGCGGAAAAATGAAAGTTATAGGCCCAAAAAATCAAAAACTCTCAAGTTTGAACAAGTCCAGAGGTTTATGAATGAGGCGTCAGATGAAAAATATTTCCAAATAAAAAAACGAAAATAAGTCGTTCATTTTGCATTGTTGGAGAAAACATTGACTATTTTAATAAATACGTTGCATTACGCCTTTCTATTATCAATCATTAACCTTTTTTTCAAGACTCAAATTATGAATACAGTGGCAACCCAGCTGGTATGAACACGTTTGGAAAAATGCCCTCTACTATTGCTGAGTTTCTGAACCTCCCGGAACCAAAGCAATATACAGGATATTCTTTCAGAAGGTCTTCTGCTTCTTTGCTAGCAGAATCAGGAGCAAATATAACGGATATTAAGAAACACGGAGGATGGAAGTCTACAACAGTAGCTGAGGGATACATCGATAAATGTATTTATTATTGTTACTGAAAGAATAATCCCAACAGATAGCTCCAGCGTTACAACATCGTCCTCTTCTCTTAAGGAATTAAATGTTAATGCCCATGAAATTGTCAACTCAGCTAGATCAAATATATCAAAAGGCTGTCAAAGAATGTAGGTAAATAAATTACATTGTAAAGTACATTAACATTTCAAAAGTAGGAAATATTGTTTGGGGGATCGAAGTATTTGGCAGTAGTGGTTCTTCTCTGGTAGTGGTTTGATGCAAATGAATATTAATGATATAAATTTCTTTGTTGTGAATGTTAAGTTTAGTGAGTTCTATCTAGATACTGTTGTTTTTAAATATTATGTTTTTTGGGTTTTATATTGGATCAAATTTGCTGATGTGTTCAAATTGATTGTGCAAAACATTCTACATATTTTGTTAATTTAGAGACCGTCGATAATATTAAAAAAACATTGGCAAGCTACATCGAAAAAATCTGTTCACATAATAAGACAACTCGAGTATGATTTCCTGACTCATAAAAATCTTTTTTTATTTTTGCAACGACATGATTATTTTCGTACATGAATTCTTTGAACAGGATGTCACTCAGTTGAAATATAATATGTTTATTTGAAATATGTATTGAAACATACATCAGAAATGAATAATGAACTGAGAAACATCACGAGTGTTTTACGTTACATCATAAATCTGAGGATTCTTGTATGGAAATTGATAGTAAAATGAAAACAATTTTTTGTAATTTGAAAAAAAAAACGATTAATAACATATACGAGTAGTAATTAATCACTCCTGTAGAGAGAAGAATGTTTTAGGTTCTCAAGTACACATTTTTTTTTCAGTTGTAATGAGGTATAATCTATATGCTCATATCTTTTTGTGAATTTACTGTATAAGTGAACAAGTACGAATAATTTTAAACCTGAATCATCTCTACTGCTAACGGTTCTGACTTCAAAATATCTTTTACGGTTGTTGTTGGATGTTCACTTGTGATTATGGTTTTTGGTAATTCATCACATCACATCACAAAATCAGTCTACGTTAGTTTCTTAAATTTGTTCGACACATGTAAAAAATCGCTATCAAATACCATCTTGACAATATATTTCTTATAATATTATCCAGATTATTACTGAAGAGCCCTAAAGTAAGTGTCTTACGGCGAAACATCGATGTTTGCCAGTGAGGATGACAGTGTTCCATGTAAGAAAAATGTTTACCTTTCAATTAGTATATTGTGTAGAAATCCTGTGAATGATATCTGATTTAATTCCGTAACGAATGTTTGGGATACAAACTGAGTAGGAGAAAGTGTTTTTTTGTATGATTCATTGTTCATATGAAAGTATTTGATTCGAAAGAATTTTTCTTTTGTGTAGTTCGATATTTATATGAAGGTAGCTGTTTCAGGTGTGATTTTTCTTCCAGTTTGTGTCTGAAAGTTCGCCTATTGAATTTCCCATTCTTAACTTGATTATCGAGTAATTTTTGTCGGGTTGATGTTGAATCATCTTTGTCCGCTCTACATTATCGGAAAACTATGCTTTTGTGATTTCAATTTGTAGTGCAAATGTGGAAAGTTATGTCTTTTATTTTTTCGAAATATTTTAATATGTAAAATCAAAGGGTCATTTTTTTTCCAATAATAGATTCATAGTATTTCGTCAAAATCTATTCACAAACATGAATACTTGTGACTCTACGTAGATTCTAAATCCATAAGTACCAATGAAAAAAAAAGTATTGAAAAACATGAGAATAAACAAAGAATCATGTAAAAAAAATCGTTAACTACGTAAAATAGATCAGAATGATTCAAAACAGACTTTGGAATTATCTCTCAGTATATGAGATATCTGAACAAAAAGGAAATAAGTTGAAAAGATTCTTGTAAAAAACGAAAATTCGTAGAAAATTTCCAGCCATTGCCAGATATCATTGTATATAACATTTTAATAGCATTTCATTACGTTAGTTAAAATTTTCAAAATCATTAAAAGCTAATTTCTCATGTTTAGTTTCTCTAAGAGTTCTGTGAAAATATATTTTATGTTGATGAAGTAATATTTGAATATTTATGCTATTATTCAAATAATTCATACACCCTGATGTTAGTTGATGAAACTATCAAAAATACTTCATTCAACTTGATTGAGAATAAACAAATAATAAAAAATTAATATTCATGGACAGAGTATAAAATATTTCTTCTGATATTTGTGTTGAAGTTGAAGTGAAATTCTTTGAATTCATACAATATTGAATGCTTAGCATTGCGAATGCATTAAAAACCGATATTGAGAAGCATGCTGAGAATTTTCAAGAAATTCCTGAAGTTTGTAGTGATCTGCTTGTTTTAAAATTAATTTACAAATGCCAATGTCAAAGCATTGATTATTTGTGCTAATTCAGTCGTTTTGATCTTGACTATGAAATTTTGAAAGGTATTCGAAAGTGAATTGAGATTTGGTGAAATTTCAAAAAATTCAACGTATTCAAACCACATTTTAAAAAACAATGACACACTTTTTTTTATTTTCATATGATATTGAATTTGAAGTTGGGCAATACTTCTTTAATATTCGAGAATTTGCTTTATACATTTATGTTATAGTGTAATTTTTTTGAATGACTTTAGTAAAAAACCGTCATTCGCTTTTTTGTAATATATACATACAACATGCCAAAAAACAATCGTTGTGCGAAGAAAGGCCTACAAAAGTAGAGAAATGTTATTTTTCCTTTCCGATTTCCATAGGTAGGAGTCTATTGTTGTATAGATTTGACACCAAATGATCATCTTCAAAAGGAAGAATAAAGAGGAAAAACTGAGTTTATTATATGGGTAGTCATGATCAAATATTCATTTTTTTGTGAAAACCTCTCGACATTCCCATATATTCAGGAAAAACACGTCAAGCTGGTGGAAATTTTTCTGAAATACGTTTTTCGACTGCGATGTTCTTTTTTACTTTTCGTAAGTAACAACTTTGATTTTTAGAAAGTGCGAGATCTAGGTTATCAAAACATATTACTCGTTCAATCAAAATATCATTTTTTTGATCACATATAATCCCAAAGTTCCGCGTTTCAGTTTTTTTTGTTCAAACTCAAATTCATCGTCTACCTATTCTTTTGGTCAGTTCTACAAATCACCATTCACTGAAACCTTTGAAAATTACACTGATTCCGAAAAAACACATTAAAAACATTAATAATTATCATTATTACAAAAAAAATGTGTCATTCACTTTCAAAACCTACTTCGAATTGGAAAGAGTATATTTTCAAGAGAGAGAATTTTTTGCGAAAGAAAGGTTTTGGCTTTCCACTTGTCCATCTTTGTACATAAAATGTGGGAATCTTGGAAAGAAAGGGAGCAGGCAATTGATTTCAACGATGAACTCTTTACAAAGATGTATAGATCATACAAAGAAGTAAATTTCAGTAACTACTTATTTATAAAATTATCTATTGAAATGATAGTATTAAGTAGTTCCTTAAGAAAAAACGACTCAGCAATAGTTTCAAAATTACACTTCTTTCCACTTTCTCTCGATTTGGTCCTCTCACAATATATGCTTAGATAATTTATTTCCTTTCCAGCTCAATGATTGATTTGAATTTTTGAATGCTGACACTTTTTAGCCTTATTTTTTCTCTATATGCAAAAATCAGGTTTAGGTAACTCTACATTTTTTCTTAATTTTGATTACCAATAAATCAACATCAGGTACTACAACTCTGTAAGATCTGCCAGAATTTTTTAACCCTATCCGTTAAACAAACTCCCTGTGGAAAATCAGGTTATTCATTACATTCAACATAGAATATATATCCAGTTCCCATTCAACGTTTTACCTATATGCACCTTCACGATGCAGAAGTAGTAAAAGTAATAAGTTTCATGACTACAAATTGGAATGATCTCTTTTGGAATGATAATGTTTTCTATACATTCGATACAAAACCAGGTCGAGAACGTAACCATGCGGCACTCCAAAAACTCACCATCATCTTTCGGAGAAGGCGGACAATTCGAAGCGTAAGATCCTAAATGATAGCCGGTGTACGAATTGTGCTGCATAGGAGGAAAGGGGTAGGACCCCAAGGCGCTCCTGGGGCTAGGAAACCCAGTGTCATGCCCTCCCGTCGGCCCCGAATGGGCATTTCCCGCCGGCGAGTTGAAGTGATGCTGATAGGACCTCAAGGGTCCGTACCCGTGCTGTTGCAGTTCGATAAAAGCACTTTTCGACACGGGGGTGGAATTGTTCGACTCGTGGGGCGTCGGGGGCCCGATGTGGCCTTCCCCCGACATTGATGGTGTCCCCGGTGGGTCTTCGTTGGGGCCCCCGAATGGGGAACCTAGGTCTGTGAAGTTCAACGTCGTGAAGGGTTTGTTATCCACTTTGCCGAAGTTTGGAGTCGTCTTGAAAAAAGTATCGTGTCCAAAACAGCACTAGAGTTCACTAAAACCACTAAAATCCGATCAGTCCACTATCACTAGCCCGAAACGCAGGTGTGAATTCGATAAACGGTGTGGGAGAAACAGTTTGAACAGTTAATAACGTTAATCAAAAGTAAGCGAAAGCAATTTAACGTATTCAACAACGATAATAGGTGTAATCCACACTATAATTGAGTAAAAACTATTTGAAGATCGAGCCCCGAACCAAATTACACGAAATTGAGCGCATATGTCGTTTTTTTACGTAGGTAAATTGACCGTTTGTAAACCAACCATCTACTACCTACGGACGTAGGCACTATAATGAAGAATAATCATATAATAGTACGCTTTGGACTGTGGTTTAGCCTCTCAACCGATAGGTTTCGCTACCGTTCAGCGAACCGCTAACTTTGCCACGCCTCTCGCGCTCCGCATTGGCCGAGCGGCATCGACCGGTCTATCTGGAACACGTTTTTAACCCGACTAGGCGGAGCCTGGATGCGATCTGTAGGCAGGGCACGCCTACGTAGACTTGCAGGCGCTTCATTTTTAGGTTAGGTTCATGTGGAGTTACTGGAAGTGTTGCGCTGTACTTTTGTTCAAGGAATTTACTTATATGGATATTGTGATCTAAAGTGACTTTTGAGGATGTTCTATTGGTGATTGGGATCGCAGGGGGAGGCTGTGGTTTGCGAATTTGGGGTTTTATTCGAAATGTAACCGTCAATTTCACAATTGGATTTAAATTGTCGCCGTAGCGACTCATTAAAATTTACTAAAAATAACAATTCACAAGCCAATTTGATAAAAACGAATGACTATATCACAAGTCTACTTGCAATTTTACCCAAAGTAGAGGAGAGTGATCGGAAATTACACTAATTTGAAAAGTAGTATAGTTTTCTAAAGCATTTGAAAGGTGAGTAAGAATAATGAATTGATTTACTGGTGAATGAATCATGAATACCCAGCTACGATTATCCATTAGTTTTTAATTTGTTTTTGTCGAGTTTAATGTTATTCACCTACTGAAGCAGTTATACTCACTATATATCAGGCTGAGTTATGTGTGGTATAATATTGATGTATCATTTTCATTCCCATAAATCAGAAATGTTGCAAAAATCTGAACTGCTAAACCTTCTTCGAGGTCAAAGTTCAACATGGAATATATTAACTATGATGTTCGTAAGGTACATTTGTCTGAATCCTCTTGAAATAAGTATATATTTATCTTTCATGTGTACTTCATGGAGTTTTATATTACAGTGAAATTATGAACTTCTTTCCTAATCGTTATTGCAGTTTTAAAAAGCAGTACTTATCAGACAATTTGATCTGAAGGAACATGCTAGGAACAAAAATATGAACTTCAACTTTCACCTTCTACCTGACGTATTTCATAATGATTCTATTTCCAATCCTTTTTAGCGGCCCTGAAATATCACAACTACTCAGTCAGTGAGGAATAGTATCTACCCTGTATACATACTCGGATTCTGTATTTAGCTCTAGAATTTCTGATTCTCATTTCCATTAATAATTATGAGCATTAAGTTGAAAAAATATCTATAAAAACCTGTACCGTGACTTAATGTTCCTCATATTTGAATTCCCAACGGAATATCAAGAGTCATAAATAATTTTTGTTTTATTATGTTGTCTATATATTGAAAAAATCAGTTTGAAAGCAAAGGTTATCGGAAAATTATGACTTATTGCACGTAATTAGGAGATTTTACGAATGCCTTTTGGTTTACCAAATTCGCCTCTATCGTATCAAAGAATTGAAGGTATAACTTGTTTTTATTTCAATCAATAATCCAGCATAACAGAAACATTTTGAAATCGAATGTCCTAGGATTTCTCTCTTTGTAATCAACAGAACATTTCTAAATACAAATACAAGTTGCTGATGTTTTCAAAGATTTCAAAAGAAATAATGAACAAAAAAGTACACTATGGGACACCTTCATCAGAATGGAAATTGTCTGCTTGCTGTTTGAAGCCAGATGCAAACTTTATGTTTTGGATATATAGATCCGCTCCATTAGAAACAATAATTAAACTTTGATTTGCTGACTTCAAACGTGGTCGTAGAGACACCGATGATGCAGAACGCAGTGGACGTCCAAATGAAGCAGTAACACCGGAAAACATAAAAAAATCCACTGAATAATTTTGAATTATCAAAAAGAGAAATTGCGTGAGTTAGCTGATATTGTGAAGATATCAAAAGAACGTGTTGGCTTTATATTGCATGAGCATCTGACAATGGGAAATGTCTGTTCAAAGTGGGTGTCGCGCAAGTTCACTGTTCACTGACCGAAAACAAGAGCGTCTTGATTATTCTGAGCAGTGTTTGGCGATGACACAACGAACCGGAATTTTTGCATCAATATGTGACAATGGATGAAACATGGATCCATCACTTCACTCCGAGATCAAAACGATCGTCATCTGAGTGGAGAGCAACTGGTGAACCTCGTCCAACTCGCCCAAAAGCACAACAAACTTTGATAAAACACGCGACTTTTCATCCCAGGTGTTATAAAAACTCCTTCAAAGCATTTCATCAATTACCGCTTTAGACGAAAATGATGCACCATGTACATTCATTTATTCCAACGGTCAAGCCAATTTATATCTACACGGATTTTATATTCAGTAATTTCTACTCATTTGTCATTTCTATTAGAAATCATCGTTTACCGAAAGAAAAAACTTTAATGAAACCCGTATTTCGTGTCACAGTGTTTCTTACATTCGAAGTCGTTAGCTGTCTCGTAGATCATAAAATAGTTTTATTTATGATTTCTCTTTGAGCAATCCCAACATGAACTTGCGAAGTAACTCCAAAGTTGGAACAGTCCAATCGAGGAAACTACTGTTGTAGTAAAGCGCGTGTTGTAAATGAAGTTTTCATTGTGAAGTTTGGAATTATCATGAATAGAAGATTTTAGGTTATAATGTGTTCTCATACTGGAGTATTGAATGTTAGAAAAAAAATTTTATTTTTTCAAAGAGAACTTCCTTTAGCTAGATTCTTCTTTTGGAATTTAGATTGAGTCTACAAAATAAAACATAAATCCAAATTATGACCTATACCCAGCCTTATCTGGTGAATCTGAACATTCTAAAGAAACCATCAAGCTCTCAGGTGTTACTTTGGATAGTAAGCTGACATGGGAAGCACACGTAAACACTACGCACTACATGCTATATAATTAAAAAATCTGCTAGATACTGTATCAGCAGACATCCTGGAAGTATTATATTTTGGGATGGTTCCGTCTACTCTGGAATATGGCGTGATCTTTTGAGGATCATCTTGTCACTTTGGAAGAGCATTCGTATTCAAAAAAAGGATAATAAGAACAATATTTTATGCTCATCCAACTAAAACATGTAAACCTTTATTCAAGAATTCCCAAATACTACCCCTTCCACGTTTGTATATTCTTCAGCTGATCATGTACAATAAAAGGAACCGAAGTGAACTACTGAGGAATGAGAACACTCATATGTAAAGGGTATATCTATAGAGGTACAGAACTTCAAGTTAGCAACACTTCCTTAACTGACGGCCATTTTGTCAACTGTCAAATGAATTATGTTTACTTTGGTTTGGCATTTCAACATAAATAGACTGACACCTGAACAACCAAATCGGTGTAAGGATATTTATGATATTTTATAAATACTGTTATATAAAAGCTGCATTTCAAAAACATATCCAAAACACAGACTATTCACAAATGAGTTTTGGACATTATTTTTGGCATAACTTCTGAACACCGCTTGGTATATACCTATCCATACAATTCTATTTTTTTGCTGAAAAATATTTTAAAATAGCCCTATGCATTGACATCTAAAATTTTCATTCGAAAGATTTTTTGATAGTGTCCCCCTTCTCAAATTTCTCAAGGATAGAACATTTCCTTGGCGTATGCCTAAGTGACGTATCGTCAGCGAAAAGAATGGTGGCTGATACCTGTAGCATATGCTGCATTTCTGTAAATGATAAAAAGCAAAGGACCAAGGACCGATCCCTGTGGAACTCCATGTTTCACTGTCCTGAGCTTGGATGTAGTATTTTTCATTTTGACCAGTTGTTGCCTATTTGTTAAAAACGATGACATCAATTTGAGTGGTGTTCCCCATAATAAGATAACTTTTCTAACAGTAGGTCGTGTGAGACACAGTCAAACGCCTTGGACAAATCGCACATAGAAAGGATGGAATGTTGCATTTTTTCAAGGCCATCGACAATGTCCTCCACGACTTCACTAGTGCCCTTATTGTAGATTTGTTTTACGGAAACCAAATTGAATGTTGGCGAGGAACTGTGTTTTTTAAATGGCAACCTATATTTTTTATCGCTTTTTCGGTTCCTACATAGAAAATTAAAGACACTTTATGAATATCTTCACTTCGAAAATGTTGACGGTTTTCGAGATATCTAGCATGACAGGTTTTTTTCCAATATTCGTCACAATATTGAAATTATAAAGTTGTGCCAAGTCCAATTGTATTTACGTTACATCTGAAGTCGACCTGTGATATACAGGGTATGAAAAACCGCTTGCCACATATTGTAAATAAAAATTTGCAGAATCTTCCTTATTTTAAATGGAATACCCTGTATATTATTGATCCATAAGGAGCGCCAACGAAACCTCTACAAATTTCATTNNNATGTTCGAATGCGATAGCTGGTTAACGGAAAAAACATATTCAAACATATGAAAAAATATGGCACAAATTTCGAGATTATTGAAATTATTGTAATTATTCAAGAACGTACATTTTGCGGTGTAATTCAAAACTTGTTTATCTAGCAACAGGTAATTTTTGGCATGGGGCGATATTTTAAGGAAAGGCTTGGACAAAAACTATGCATCAAATGAAGAAATTGCACAGTGTTCTATTTAGAGAATAAATGTGTTATAAACATAATATATATCTCGATCACAGTCGTCACATATGGATTTCACAGTAAAAAAATCATTGATATTATGGCGATACAATAGAGAGTTGTCATGTACAAAATTGAAACGAAATATCTTTCGTACATTCTTCAGTCGTCAAATGGATTTCGCTTTGAAAAAAGTCTAGTTTAATGGCGTAGAAATAGGAAGAACTACCATTTTTCGAAAAAAATGCTTTTTTAAGAAAAACTATTGAACCTAGCCATAAGAAATACTTGATGTAATTTGTAGAGGTTTCGTTGGTGCTCCTTATGAATCAATAATATACAGGGTGTTCCATTGAAAATAAGGAAGATTCCGCAAATTTTT